TGAGAGCTGTTTCTGGTGGGTGAGAGCAGCTCCATGTGCTGGGATTGTGCCTCCTCTCACTTTTTGAGTCTGCCGACTGCAAACTCGCAGCAATCTTTTTTTTTTCTAACTTTATTGAAATTTGAAACTATCATCTTTTCCCATAGAGGAGGGGAAGGGAGAAAAAAAAGAGGAATGTGCCAGTCATTGGAGTGATTTATTTTATTTTACCTGCTTTTATTTTAATAATCATTCATAGTACTTTGATCGCTGCCGCTCTGCTCTAATGAAATATGTTGTGCTGTTTGAGGTAGATTTTAACAATCTGTGTTTAGAATAAAAATAAATGCAGTGGTATTACCTATAGATTGAAGTGCCTACAATTCTGGGGCCACTCAGAGTAAGTGCAATGAAAGCTTTTGGGAAGTCAGCAGAAGGTCTTGAATCATGACAGGATTTTGCTGAGAGATATTTCTACTATTGATTTCTCAATTTTTCATAATTTCTGAAAATAAAATGCAAATTAAAAGAAAATGTTGAAGTAAGATGTTGGTTTTAATAACAGTATTTGCACGACCTGCAATGATTTGGGTAGGAAATGTACTCCATGGGATAATTAAAAAAAAAAAAAAAAGTTAGTTAATCTGAAAAATCCCCCATGTTTTCTTGCGGGGTAGGCAGTGGGTGGCTTTTCCCATGCTGGGGAAAACATTGCACAAACAACTTTATTTTTCCCTCCTGGAGGGCCCAATCCTGAGAAAAGGAGGAACTGGAGGCAGGGCCGTCCCCAGCACGCTGCGCTGGATCAGGCCCCACAGGCTGGATACATTTTTATGTTCAGCCTTGAGTTCGGTCATTCATTTGTTCAGAGAAAAACCAAGAAGCATGGCCTCAGTATATTATAATATGTTCTGATCTCTTTGGCTGATTTATGTAGTACTTTCTGAGAGAAAATACATATTTATAGTAATATTTTTTAAAACAAAATTGAGGAGTGCTCCTCAGGTTTTTTTTTTATTGTCAGCACAATTTTAATCACAATTATTTTTGTGCCAAGGCAGAGGGGTGATCTTTAACTCCTCGTTACACAAAGCAAGCAGTGTCTCCGGATGGCCAAACTAACTTTCCGAGTATGGCATTTCTTTTTAAATATCTGAAAATCTGAAACAATTAATAATCCTTTGCTCATTTGCACAAGTTGTGCTGCCGTTTTCCGTCACTGTGTTTCTCAATTTTTCCCGGGTGTTTTTATTTTATAGAGTTTGGATTGTCCTTAATATGCCCAAATAAAAAGTTGGTGTTTTTTTTTCTTTTTGGCTAAATAGAAACAAAACTTTAAAAAAAAATAAAGTGCAAGACTTGCATTTTATAGGAGTTTAGCATTAGTTATTGTTTTGCTTGCAGGATAAATTGATTGCGGTACTTTCTAGTCCCTTCACCGTTTAGGAACTGGAGTGAAAACCACCCTTCATTGTAATTGTATATACAGCTATAGTGGCGTTTTACTATACTGCCGGCTGCTATTTCCAAATATATCTTAGGGAAAGTTTTACTATACTTTAGACTTCCCCATACAAACATTGATTGGCATCCAAATGTTTAGGATATGCCAAATTGGCGGGCAAATGCTGGCTACACCGCAAGCAGCGGGGTCAGGGAGAGAGCAAAGGGAGATACGCACTCCGCAAGTGGACTTGCAGCGCTGTTTTTAGCTTTTAACTCATTCTACCCTTTCTTTTTAGAGATTTGGGGATTGAGGAAAGAGCCTCGGTGTTGCACCATCTCCGTCTGGGCACTTGGTTGAAGTTGGACTCTGTTTTCGGGGGGCGGGAGTGGAGGTTTTGGGTCAGCACAGAGGGATGTGGTGGTGGCAGGTTTGGGGTCCATCCGCGAGGGGTCTAAGTCCCACATCCCTTAAAATTTATCAGCACCCTCCTAATTCTCACCATCCCACCAAAATCCTGTTTTTGGAGGCTTTTTGTTGATGGTTTCGGTGATATTGACCCTTCTCTGTAACTTTTTTCAGGATGAATTTCATCCCTTCATTGAAGCACTTCTGCCTCACGTCCGAGCGTTTGCGTACACGTGGTTCAACCTGCAAGCCCGAAAAAGAAAATACTTCAAAAAACATGAAAAACGTATGTCAAAAGAGGAAGAGAGAGCCGTGAAGGATGAACTGCTAAGTGAAAAACCCGAGGTAAAGCAAAAATGGGCATCCAGACTTCTGGCAAAGCTCCGGAAAGATATCAGGCCTGAATTTCGGGAGGATTTTGTTCTCACAGTCACAGGAAAAAAGCCTCCGTGTTGCGTTCTTTCCAATCCAGACCAGAAGGGCAAGATGAGAAGAATTGACTGCCTTCGCCAGGCAGATAAGGTCTGGAGGTTGGACCTTGTTATGGTGATTTTATTTAAAGGTATTCCGCTCGAAAGTACTGATGGCGAGCGCCTTGTAAAGTCCCCACAGTGCTCTAACCCCGGGCTGTGCGTACAGCCCCACCATATAGGAGTTTCTGTTAAGGAACTCGATTTATATTTGGCATACTTTGTGCACGCAGCAGGTAAGTGCCTTTCTCTACCACCTTCTCCAACTTTTCGGTTATCTCCATGCTGGGTGCTGTGCTCCGGCAGCGGTGGCTGCATGAGCCGGGGAGGGAGCGGAGGACGCCGGTTATCGCCCTCCCGGGCTGGCAAGGAGGGTGCCAAAATGGCCTCCCTCCCTTTTGTATTTTTTTCATGGGTTTTTAAGGTGTAGCCACATAAAAGTGGCTCCAGTTTTCCTGCGGTTAACAGCATTTCGGGCATCCTTCACAGGTGTTATCCTAAATGTTGTCCTAGGAGGGCTCGCAGCTGGACGCGGCTTCCTTTATCCTGATTTTGAGGGAAAGCAGATAGATTTTAATTTATTCTTTTTTCTAAAATTAAGTTTATATATGTTATTCACAAAGTAGTCTGAGAGGGCTAGATGTGCCTGAGGCCTATGGCTCAGGAGTACCAGGTATCCCCACCCCATGGGGATGGGATGGTGGGATGGGGAGCATAAATCCCGCAGGACTGGGCTTGGAGGAAAAGGAGAAGACGGTCCCTCAATAGAAAATCTAGTTGTCAGGTCTGAGCAGACACAAAACAAACCTCTGGGTAATCCTAGGGTAAAAAGGAGATATTTAAACCCCTCTGAAATATCACAGTTTATACACCTAGAAGCTAAGCAGGTCTTGAAAAAGAAATCCTGATTTGATAATGTTGTGCTTATGGGGTGGGGGGTGGGATGAGATGTATTTGCCTGTGATGAAAACCTTGGGATCCCTGACTTCAACACAAAGTACAGTCTGCCTGCGGCGTGACTTGGTGTGCTCAGATGATGTTGGCTGGATAAAATAATATGCTATTGTAGTTCTCATGAGTGATTATATTGCAGAAAAATGTGCGTGTGTGAAGTGCTCAGCCCTGAGTTTCACGTACAGGATGCATAGTTCCCTCTGCATATCCTGGCTTGTGAGTTGAGGGGCTGAACAGGCTGGAAAAAAAGAGGAGCAAAGGAGAGGAATCATATTAGTAGAAACCACTTCTATATAAATATTTATCGGTAAGAAAACGGAGTGAATTACAGCCCTGGGAGCCTGCATTTCCCATGCCAGCTCCTTTCAGAGGGTCTTGCAGAAAGTTCTGACAGTCACAAAGTTTTTCTGCACTGAATCCCTGCCATGGCTGTTGTGTTAGGTGGTGTCACTGCTGGGATTTTATGGATATGATCCCTGTTCGGAAATAACTTTTGAGTATCCTCATGGTACTTCCTACAGATAAGCTGCGACATTTACTTTGCACTTCGGTGCGAGGTGGTAAATCATATTGCACGTTTATGACGAAAGGCAAGTAGGCAAATATTGGGGAAAATTATTTATTTACTCTGTGATTTATTGTGACCAGGGTGACGGAAGGATTATGGATTAATGGCTAACTGAAGGGAGGTTGAGGCTGGGGCATTGCAGGCCACCTCCAGTTCCATCGCCAACCCCGAGGAGATTGTGGAGTTGCATCCCTTTTGTCTACCTCAGTTTCCTCCTCTGCACATCGGAGTGGGATGATGCATTTAAAGAGCTTTGATATCTACAACTAAAACCTGCTATGTCTTCATCTACAGCCCACAGGTTTTTATTGTTTAGATTTATACATAGAGTGGTGCTGGGAAATCCAAGTCTATGTTGTGTTTCCCAAGCAGCCCTCCGTGGAGCGTACAAGTTGTTCGTAGAAGCCAACGGTCTTGGCTTAGCCTGTGTGTAGGCTCACAGACAAGTAAGATGGGGAGAAAAAGACCAAACCCAGGACTGGAAGTATGTCGGGGAGCTTGAAGGGATCCTCACCCTGTTATAACAGTCGGGCAATAGCTGCCATAAAAGTTCAATATGGTGATTAGGGATATACCATCTTATCAGCACACTGATGGCAAACAGTAGCCTTGATAGCAAACTCGTATTTATCACTGCCTTCATCATCAACAGGCAGCAATGGCACTAATTGTCCGTTGGACTAGATGTTTGCAGCGGAAACTTAGAGCGAGGTTTGGGCTTGGATTTTTGGGGTTAGATTTGCGGGTTTGTGTAAGCAGTAATGCGCTCGTGCGGAGCACAACTGCTTCATGTTTTTAGCTGTTGTTTGCTGATTGCACGCATCGCATTGTGCTCTTAATGCAGTAGCTGGTGTATTCCCGCTAAACCTCAGCGGGGAGGGGGACAAAATGATTTTGGGGAGGTAGCACAGCGTGATCGCTGCCTATATTGCTTCACGGAGGTGTACCGAAAGCCTTGCGTATAGACTACCTCCTTTTTTCCCCCCTTTTTGCCCGTTTTTTTCCCCCCTCCGATGTATCCCAGCAGTCTTTGTTACACCTGAACATTGGCCAAGTTGACAGCCATTGGTTCCCGCAGACCCGCAGTAATGGCAGCTTGTGCCGGGTGCGCAACAGGAAAATTACAAAAGGAAAAAAATATTAAGGGTCCTTTGTCTCCCAACTCCATCAGACCTCACTCCCCAAATGTATGGACCGTGTAGTTATAAGGAGGAAGTCGCCAGTGCAAATATTAGGTGTAGGCTGGTCAACTTATATATAGCGAATTTGACAAGCATCTGCTGTAGTACAGAAGATTTGTAAACACTAAACAATGTTTTTACCTCCTTAAAAGTTTTGAGAAGTTGCCAGTATTGGCAGGAGGCACAGACTCCGAAACGTGCTTGAAGATACGTGCCAAAACCATTGTGACCTTTTCACCCATAGTGCTTGCTTCTCTTTTTCTTGTGGGTCTTTTTTTCCCCACTCTTCGTCTTCTTTTTTTTGGGGGGGAGTATTCTTTTCCAATATGCCCTTATTCAAGATGACTTCAGCAGCAAGATGTCCCTTTCCTTCTAAACATGTAGGATAATTATTGCTTTGAATCCATGCTTTTTCTTCAGTAGGCACTATCATCTGTAAGGGAACACATGTGCACAGATTTAAATAGTGCTTCTTACAAAGCTACTGAAATCAATTATTCTCTTTAAGAACTGGCTAGAAAGAGAAAACAAAAATATGCAAATGGGCAAACTACATGTCATTTTCGTTAAAAGAAAAAAAAGAAATAAAAAATAAAAGGAAAGGAAGATCGGTGTTTTGTGAATTAAGAGGTTGACCAAAAAATGTATTGAAATCGAGAGTATTGCTCTCAGTTTGCAGTTTCTAATCTGCTTAACTAAAAGCAGGAGGCATTTTCATACCCTGAACTTGGGTTCGCTTTTTAGTTTTCACTTATTCTGCTCTTGTATCAAATGACAAGTTGAAAACCATTGTGGCAAACCGTTTTCTTTGTGGGAGTCGAACAGTAAAGCTAATTTATGACCGGTCCTTTACCAGATGATCTGTATCAGAATCTACAATATACTAGGCACGTGGCAAGGTCACAATTTAAGTTGTTAAGGTCACAACCTTAGCCACCAGGCATTTGACCTTTTAGATAAAGTTAACCTTTGTTCATTAGTAGGCACTCAACCGAGAACTTTCTGGAGTTTTTTACTGCTTTGGAGTTCCTTCTGCTAATGTGATCAGATTGGAGAATAGATTCGCAATAGAAGTAGTTAAATTTTGTGAGAGGTCACAGTTTTTAGAGACTTCTCCAGTGGCCGAAGCTGGATGGTGGGCCAGGAGGCGATGCTGCAATGCCTGGTTTATTTTTTTGGCCGGCCATCGTTATGCGCTCCGGGCGAGAATTAAGCTCACGAGGTATTTGTGGCAGAGAAAATCTTTTAATCTTTCAGAAGGACATTTAACAATCCCAAATTTAAGAAAAATCTGAGGCTAGGGTTTTATTTACACGAGCTCATTTTTCTGTTTAGTTTAGACTAAAAGCCAGCGAAGATGCAAGAGCTCAGCCTTATTTCTGTGACTGAAAATTTACTGAGCCTCTAAATACGCTTTGTGGCTAATTGCTGGGCAGTGGTATATAGAACATGACCCGGAACTTTAAGCAGACCCATTTTACGTTCCTGTCGTGGGATTTAAAATGTTTCTACTTGGGCCACCACAAAGAGGCATCAATGGGAGTAACCCAAAGATGGGTTAATGTTAAAAGCGCCTGCGGATAGCTGATGTACCCATGGAGGTTTCGGGAGGTCTGAAAGGTACCTAAGGCTTTGCGCCATAATCTTTTAGTACAATTGGTATTGATTGTTGCTGCATTAATCCTGTTAATAGCCGCAGCCGGTCCGGCGTGTCGCAGGGATGGCAGAGGTGTCCTGACAATACCGTACGTCACCGAAAGAGCTGTCGCAGCGCCTTGAACTCCTGATCGCTGCTTTGCAAAAGTGGAGCATTCCACGGTGGAAACTATTGCTGGCTCATACAGAAACACACACCATATTGTTTACTTAATTATGCCGTAGCGAAGGCTCATTTTTAATTATTTAGCTGACTTTCTCGCTTTGCTCTGATACCACATTTATTATTTAATTTAAAATCAAAAGGGCTTGTGCTACTGTTAGTTTTTGATGCATTTCACTTTTGTTTTGGCTACGTTATTGTCATTCCATCGTACGGTAATCCAGATAGCCGTGATATGCAGATTGGCCAGATGGTCATGTTAACAGATTGGGAACCTACTTCCCACTGCTAAAGAGCAGGTGTAAGATCAGTGGGCTTTTTTTTTTCTTCTCCTTTCCTCCCAAGTTTCAACTAAAATGCTCTTTAGACAGCTCATAATGGTAGTTAAAAAGGGGCACATTTCAAATAGTGTTTGTTCTGTGGAGATAATACATAACGTATGTGTCGTTTTTACGCGTATCTGAAGACTTTTAAAGCATCCATGACATTCCCTCCACATATAACACTTTGGAAGACCTTCTTCTAGCCCGTGGCTATTCCAGTGTATATCTAAAACAGTCCTTTGCTCCAGAGGCAGATTACATTTACTCTTACCAGAAAACCACTCAGCCAGCTTTGCAACAGGTATCTCACACATGTTCCCTGCGCAGTGCTCCCTGTGCATGCCCAGGGAACCTGAGCAGATCAATGTTCAGCTGAGATTTTAATGTTTGA